GCGCCCGGGAGCGCGGAGAGCGGAGCTGGCCCGGAGCGCGCTGGAGACACCCCGAGCGCCCCGCGCCCTGGGACCATGCGCCTCGCCGCGCCTCCTCGCCAGCCCCAGGCTTCGCTCTCCGCTCCCTGAGCCCCTGCGCTCGCCACCACGGAAACTCGCCAAGAGGACGCAAGACGCTGGAGAGCGGCGTGGAGACGGACCCAGACTTCCCCTCCGTCCCCAAGAGGCTGCCGGGCCCTGGTTCCCTTGGTTTTCGTAGCTTTATCATGAACCTGGCGCAAGCTTGGCTTTAGGAGAAATTAAGAAGCCGGAGGGGGAGTCAAGACAATTCTTTGGTTGCTAAGGTAATTGTAGTTGTGACGAAAATGGGCAAGAAACAAGTGGGGGGGGGGAAGTGGTTTAAAACGGTATGTGTCCCCCCCGCCATATGTGTTGATTTCATCTCAGGGGTGCGGGTGCATGTCCATTCCAGATGTATGACAGGTGTGTGCGTGTACGTGTATGTTTGGGACTGTAGAGGCACGCGCTTACATAAGTGGTTAGGCAAGCCGGCATGTGGACTTGTGTGGGATGGGTCTGCATGTAAATCGTGTTTTTGGGTTTTGGTGTGTCAAGTGCTCCCCGCCCGGGACTTGCGTGCAGAGGGAACGTGCTTTTAGGTCTTTCGAGTCTTCCAATGTTGTGATCGTAGGTCGGTAGGGCAGCTCTGACTTAACAGCAGACGTTCATTAACTTTTTTTCTCTGAATAAGCTTGCCCGTTTGTGGTTTGGAGAAAAAACGAGTTAGCGTGGTGGTGAGGTGTGCAGGGCAGAGGTGGGCGCTGAGGTCTGCTATGGGGAACTGCGGGAGGAGAGGGAGCTACAGTAGGTTTTCACTCCAGGAGAATGACAGCTAAGCTGGTTGCGTGTAGAGGCCGTGTTTACAGTCCTGTTAGGCTGCGTAGAGTGGCCCAGTGAGACAAGGAATGTGACCCAGAAAATTTAATTTTGTTCAGAATGAAAACTGCTCTATTTCGATTTTTAAAAATCTGATGGCGTAAGAAAGTTTCTTTTTGAGACAAGTGGCATTTATATGCTGCAAATTGAAGGTATTTTGGGTCTTCTTGTTGGCTTGGAATTGTTGCCTCAGCGTTTATCAATGCCTAGAAGCTGGATCTGCGGGTAGTTTCTAATCAAAATACCTGTTAGCAGCTCTAAAGTAAAACTGCAAAAGTAAGCAGGGTTAGGTGCAACATAACATTTGACCTTTTTCTCTCCAGAGTGGGTGGGAGATGGAAGAGTAAGAACTGGGCTTCTAAGTGTCAGAATTGAACGAAAAACTGAGCTTTAAGGTGTGTGTGTGGTCTCTTAAAAAGTGTTAAACTGAAAGGAAACTGTTAGGTTTAGCTAAATATATTAACAGCAAGGCTTTTGTAAAACAATTTTCGTAGGCAGGTGGGTAGTTAAATGGAATGGGGGCTGGGGGTTGATGGGAAACTTTCTGGGAGTTGTATGTTCTTTCTTCTTATTAATAATTTTTCAAGGGCTGGGACTGACTATCCTGTGAATGAGAGTAAGTAGAGGATTGAGGGAAATTTGAGACTCTTTACAGAGATGCTTTTGTAGGAGAGCAGCGAAAAACCAGGATGATAAATTCCTTCAGTTGAGTTCTCTGATACTATTGTCAAGCCAAATTGTTGTGTAGATATTGTGATTTCATGCAGTATAACCCTGGGGCACACTGTATATATATATTCTGTTTTTAATAACTTGTCCTTTCCTGAAAGTGTCTGAAATTTCTAGAAACTTCGGCTATTGTGAGGTATTTTGATAAAGTGAGTAGCCACTGGTGTTTTTCTTCTGTATTCATTAGACTGGTTATTTGCTTTACTTTCCTGTCTCATTTAAGAAACTTCAATTAATGTTTGCCGAATTCATTTTGCTGAGAAAAGTTTCAGTAAAGCAATGCTAGTTTTTCTTTGAAGCAGCAAATTGTCCTATCAAATGAGAAATTACAACAATGCTTTTGCAGCAGAAATGCGTCTTTAAATGAGACAGCAACCTTTTAATTTTTTTATTTGTGGAATAAGATATCCATTTTTTAAATGAGCAAACATTTCTTGAGAAAGAAAAAAAAAAGGATATTTAGGACAATGAAAGTTGCCAGTAATTTTGGATGTCTTACGGTCCACAGGGACAAAATTTTATGTGAAAGATCATTCTGTTTCCTATCTGTCTGATCTTCTTCCATGAATCTTATCTCCTTAACTCCCAAGACTTTGGCAGGAATTGCTGAACACTCTGTTTTGTGCCAGGGGTTAAACATCAAGGAGATAGGAGTAAGGAGCTGTGTATCATATAAACATTTTTCAATGCCAGTGGAAAAAAGGGATGCTCTCAGAGTTCTCAATTCTGGGATTAGTTTTTCCTTTAGCTTCACAGTTAGCTTGTCTTAATTCATAGTGCTTTGAACCTAGGAAAGCATTTAACCTCTTCATTGTCTGTGCCAGCTGGAATGAATATATTTACCAAATTTCTTCTTCGTTGTAATGGTATGATAGAAATAATTACTATACACACACTATCCTGCTGTATGGAAGGAAATAGAATTGCAAAATAAACCTTCATGTTGAGTGATATGGGTATAGAATTTCAAAAAACAGCTTTACTTTTTTTTCCCCGAATTACAAAGTAATACATAGCCATTGGAAAAAATTGAGGGGGAACAAACCCTCAAAAGATGGTTTATAGTCCCCCCACCCAGGACGAACTACTGTTAATACTTCTGCATACTAAATATTCTTCCAGATTTTATTCTAATGACATTATTCATTGTATTCCAACCTCCCCCACACCAAAAAAAAAATTCAAATCTTGTAAATAGAACTTGGATATGTGTTAAAGGTTTGGGAAATTATTGCTGGTTTACTGGATGGTTTTGATAGGACAGATTTTAATTTTTCTTAGTGGCCCTTATTTTCAGGGAAGCTAGGTTCTCTGTTTCTCTTGTTTTCTTTTCAAATCAAGGTATGTGCCATGAATCAGTAATACTTGGGACTCCTGATCAGATTTAGGGATTAAAGTCTCAGAAAAGAAGTAGAAAGAGCATTGGTCCTGAGTTCTGATTTCAGTTCTTCTACTAACTCATTGTGTGGCCTTTGTTGTTGTGGTTTTAGGGTAAGTGGAAACCTTTCTGGACCTCTGTTTCCTGGAAGGACAAATGAGACTTTTAGGTTTACCTCCCTATGTTAACTACGTATTTACTGTTTAACACTGGATGAGGATGGTCTTTGTTTGCAGAGGGCTTGTTCAAACACAGATTGCTGGACCCCACCCTCAGAGTTTCTAATTCAGTTCATCTGAGGCAAGGCCTGAGAATTGCGTTTTTTAACTAGTCCCCAAGTGATGCTGACCCTGTTGGTCTGGAGACCACAGTGGGAACCACTGAACTAGATTGTAAACTCCTTGGGGACAGAAACCCTGTTTCACTTTTCTTTGAATCCATCTACCCAGTGCCCAGCAATATACCTGTAAGTAGGTGCTCAGTAAGCACTGGCTGAATCCATGTTAATTTTTTTCATGGGGGGAAAAACTTTCTGAAGTAGTGAAGATAGAACAAATCATCCAGAATTTGAAACTATTAACTCTACAATAAGAGTAACAATCAGTCATGAAACCCTAGTTCTTCAAACTACAAAGAAAGCAAAAATACTTACAAGCAGGCAGTTAAAACGAACATTAAACCTAATTAAGTTACATTAAATTACAACTTGGAGCACCTGCTTGAGATGTTATAAACCATGAAGCTTATCAAATGCTTCATCATTGCCTCCCTGAGACTGCGAAGAGGCAATTCATTTTCTACCGTATGCACATATTCCAAAAGTGGAGCAAGTTTACTATTAATTAACCCAGTTACCAAAGCAGGAGGTAAAACAAACAGTGGCCCAGCACTCCTTCTTCCCTCCCTCCAAAAAAGCCTGAACATTGCTTATTAGAGTCTGCGTCCATTCTATGAGGTAGGTCTCCGTTTTATGACCAAGGAAGCTGAGATGTAGAGAAACAAACTAATCTTCGTTAGCTCACAAGCTAGTAAGTGGCAGCGCCAATCCCTTCCACTGACATTGGGTGGGTGGATTTGACCCCTAGGAGATTCCACTGGTTGAAATCCACCAGTTGAGATTTGTGATCATCCTCGTGTGGCTACTTAGTGAATAGAAAATTAATCTTTCCTTTATACTTGGGTGGCAGAAACATAGGTGCAGAGAAAGCTCATTTTTATGTATGGAAGCTTAAAAAAATGTGTAAATATTTGAATAAGAACAAAGTAGATGCTCATTTAACTGAGGCAATTAAAATGAGTTGTGCTGGAGGATGATGTATCAGCTGTCTTTTCTCCAAACAAAACAAAACAAAACCCATTGCCCTTGAGTCAATTCTGACTCATGATGACCCCATGTGTTAAAAAGTAGAACTGCTCCATAGAGTTTTCTTGGCTGTGATCTTGATGGAAGCAGATCACCAGGCCTTTCTTCTGTGGTGCTGCTTGGTGGGTTCGAATCACCAACATTTAAGTTAGTAATGGAGCACAAACAATATGGTAAAACCATTAAAGAGAAGAAAAAGACCTTTAATTTTTTGCATGGTTATCAGTTGCCATCAAGTTGATTCTGACTCATGGTGACCTCATCTGTGTCAGAGTAGAACTGTGCTCCATAGGATTCAGTGACTGATTTTTCAGAAGTAGATCTCCAGGCCTTTCTTCCAAGGCACTTCTGGGTGGACTTGAACCTCTGACCTTTCAGTTAGCGGTCGAGTATGTTAACTGATTGCACCACTCAAGGACTCTATCTTTCTTTCCTAAGTGGAAGCCCAAATTACACAGAGCCTTCTGAGATGAGTGTCTCCTGCATGAGTGTGAACTAGTGGTGACGCCCCGTTGGAAGTACCCAAGACATCTCTGTCCCACTTGTTGAGACCTGGCTAGCCCAGACAGAGAACTGTTTTTGGTGATTCTTAAGTAGCACAACAGGCATTCGAAAACCCTACTAACTGGGTTTCTGAACCTCAACTTCTTTATCTATAAAATAGGAAGAACAAAATATACCTCTTGATTATGTGTGACTATGAGGAGAAAACAGAATCATGTATATAGTACCATGGCCCAGCCATCTAAGTGAGAGAGGGTGGAGTGGGGAAGACCTCCTCTGTGGTAGCCAAAGATGTCTCTTTTTCCTTGAGCTTAATGGCCATTAATCATGAGCAGGAAGAGAAATGGGAAGTAGGAGACTACTGCTACATTGATGTCTTTTGTGCCAGATTATGAACCATACCCAGAGCAAGGCCTCGGTTCATTTTTTCTTTGTATCCTTGGTATCTCTCATAGTACTTGGGGCATGGTAGAAGCTTGGTAAATGTTTACAGAGTTATTTTACTTGCAACAGAGACAGCTATAGGTGGGGCTGAATGGGAGGAAACATGGACTGGTATGGGGGCAGGTGAATGGACTGGTACAAGGAAAGATGCGTGGACTGGTATGGGTGTGGATGAATAGATTGGTATGGATGTATACGCATGGACTGGTACAGACCAGACCAGATGCATGGACTGGTACAGTGTGGATGTGTGGACTGGTACAGGGTGGATGTATGGACTGGTACAGCTTGGATGTATGGACTGGTACAGCTTGGATGCATGGACTGGTATAGTGTG